CAGGAAATTTGACTCTGAGAAGACAGGTGCAGGCTTTGAAAACAGCCATGCAGAATATTCATGGTTGGGTACAGGAGAAAACGGCCATAAGCCCAACAGACACAATATACTCATTCAAACCTGAGGACTTTTAGTTTAAAAAAAATAAAATCCAACAACTCTGGGGCTCATATGGGATGGGCCTCATACTACAATCCTGTCTACCCCTACTACTGTTAAAGTTACAGAAACTGTGCCTTAGATCCACCAGGGATAGAAGCCACAGCCCAACACAGGTGGACCAACGAGCAGCACCCAGACTACCCGAGCCAGCTGACCCTGTTACGAGACTGGACCATCACTCTAGACAACAGACCTGCTCTAATCACCCCTGAAGCTGACCAGTCTATAGATGGCCGAAGTTTGAGGGTCAACATGGGAATACAATGACAACGTAAGTCTCTTCCCTTTTTGTTATAATTCTCCCTCTGCCTGATAGGGAGCCAACCCCCTATAACAAGGTAAATGATAATGGTAGTGATGCTCTCTATTAAAACTTATTTTAGAACATGCAACAAAGGGGGGAATGAAACTGTACTTGAAGAGCAACTTCCCTCAAACTCCCCCTTTCCTCCCCTGTAGCTGTAACTTCTGGTACAGATAAGATTGGCAACTATGTCCTGTAAACAGTTTATGTCATATTGTTCTCGCAGGATTCATAAGACTCTTTGTTAACTGCTTCAAGGCAAGGTTATGAATTGCTCTGTCCTGCTTTTGTACCCTCACTTGCCTCCCATCCCCCATCCCACCCAGTCTTTACAGACCAACCCCCTCAGCCAAACATATAAAACTAGGACCTTTCCTTTGTTCTAACACTCAGCACTTAGGACACAAGTTTGGCTGAGGTGGTGTGCATCTAAAATCCTGTAAATAAATCCTTCTCTTTCCCTATGGGTCTCTCTGATCCCTTGGATTCTGCAACATACCAAATGCAGCAATATAGTCTACCTCTTAGTGTATCTGGAAATGTGAAGGAGGGCATTTTTAAAATTATCATGGCCATATAGAAAAAGCCAAAAGGAGGAATGTTAGTGAAAATTAATAGACGGGCCTAAAATGCCAAATGAATGAGTCATACACCATACCCACCTACCCTGCTCTTCTGCCTCCACCAAAAAAAAAAAAACCCTCCTCATTCCCTTTTAAAGAAAATCGCCATGCCAGCTGCTTTAATCTTCAAAGTTCAGGGCTCACTATGAAGATCAGAAAATGTGCCACACACTAGCAGACAATTTAAGTTCCTACCCCTGTTGTCAGATGCTTGTCTCCTCATTTCATCGTCATAATCAAGTGCAGTCCTCTTCAAGGATCTATGCTCACAGCTGTCTCCACCAGCACGGCAGTGTTTTATCCTCACTACACACACCAACTTTCAGCTAGCAGACGTGAGGTCTTTCCCAGCACAGTAAACAGAACTTCCAAGTATCCTTGGAACTTTGTATTTGTAGATGGAGGAAAAGAAAAGTCTAACACCTACTGATAACATGCAACATTTTGTGTGTAGCAGTACATAAACATCTTAATAGGGACCAAATCCATAGTTTTCACAAAATTCTCAAAAAGTCAGCAGGGTAATTTAGTGAGACCCTAACTCAAAACAGGTTAGGATATAGTTCAAAAGTATAGCAACCCTGGGTTTGATCCCCAGTAATATTCCCCTCCACCAAAAAAAGAAGTCCCATAAAACCGACTTTGAAACATTAGACATAGCTCTTCATTGAGAGGTACCTCCAAGATCTTCGATAATTTCTGTGCTCAAAAGTCTGTTTCCCAACATCTATCATATAAAGTTTAAACTCCTTCGACACGTTAGCTTAACCTATCTAGAATTTAAAACTCACCCTGGCAATTTTAGGTGCCTTATGATTCCAATAACCAGTTTACTCTCCTCAAATATACCCTTTACTTCCTCAGGGCTGTGCTTACAATTTCTTTCTTCTGCAACGTTTCCTCATGTACTCAGCCAAGAAGATTCTACTCATTCTTAAAGTTCTGGTTCAAAAGCCGTATCTAAAAGAATTTTTCTATCTTCTCACTTGAAATTAGCTTTATAGTATTTTTGCTCTCCCAGTATTTTGTGTTTTTTTCTCTAGCACTTGTCATGTTCTACCTAGATTTATGGTTATAGTATTATGTCTTCCCAGTGCTATTAGAATATAATTAAGGGTCAAGAGCTTACAACTCACTGCGATCACCAGAAACTGGCACCATATTTTACATAGTAAAGGTGTTTAATATAAATATCTGTATAATTAAATCCAGTTTTTAAGGAAATTTGACTATTACTACCGATGAAAACTACATGGAGCAAAATACTCAAAAGGATGTGGCAATTTCATTGTCTGAAACTTACAAAATAGCCAAGATAGTCCAATTATATATAAGTTCAAATACACAAATTCTTTCATAAAAAATGGAAAGCCAATTAATTTATAGTTTATAAAGAGGCATCTTTAAGACAAATGGATGTATTGTGAAAACTGTAAAGGATTATACAATACAGATTATTAATTAATCATGATTATGATAGGCTGCTATTCTTGACCAGAGTGTGCTTTAACTACTGGACTGTAACTATTCTTTTTTTCTTGGTATCAGAAATCAAACTCAGGGCCTCCTGCTTGCCAGGCATGCCCTGCCCACTGAGCTACATCTCCAGGCTCTTTGGTATAGTACTACTAAAGTTCTCTACAGGCTAAAACTAATTAATTGAAACTACTGATAACTATCTTAACATGATTTAAAGACCAGCAGATGCCTACATTAAATTCTAAATATAAGAAAAATATACACAGAAAATTCGGAATGTTTTATATTTTATCATATAAAACCAAGTACTTTAAACAACTATAAATTTAAAATTAAGACACAGAGATTATTTTAGGTCTTAGACTAATTTCAAACTATTTTACTCTTCATAAGTTTTTTTACAAGATTTGGGGAGCAGGAAGACTTAGTCAATTTAAGGAAGATACTTTGTACTTCACATAGCAATCTAATCTTGGGAAAGACACAACCATTTCCCGATTAAGAACGCTTTTTTATTTGAGTAGCTTTCAGGCTCTACAGTATACTATCCTGGGGAGATGGGCAAGGGATAATAATAAGTGGAAGATAAACTTCTAGGTAATTGCTTTTATTTTGTATAATTTTCAAACTTCATATAGCAAATGCTAATAAAAGCCATGTTCATGAGCTAGACAATTTCTGTTCCTGTATTAAAGATTATATTCTTTCTTTCATTTTCTTTTTTTGTCTTTTTTAAGGGTTTTGCTATGCAGTTCAGGCTGGCCTTGAACTCACAACAATCCTCCTGCCTCAGCCTCCTGAGTGCTGGGATTACAAGTCTGCACCATTACCCTTGGCCTCATGATTATATTCTAATCCCTTAAAAGTTGTAAAAATGTTTTTTATACATTTGCATTATGGCTCTTTGTATTTTATATAAAAACAAAAAATCATGAGTAACATTTTTGTTAGTTAGGATATTCCAAAAAGCAGTACACAAAAAGTAGTAATAGAAAAAGCACTTACAATGTCAATAAAATGTTTTATAATAAACCATGTTAGAACAATTTTAATAAAACAGACTCAGTTCTATAAAAACTAATTTACATTCCTTGCATATCCCCTTGTTTATTTTACTTAATCTTCCTTTAAAAAGCTTAGTAAGCTAATTTGGGATTTTGCCCAAAGAATTTCAGAACCTATGTATTTAATTTGATATATTATCACTCTTCAACGTATGAGGATTCAATCTTAGTTGCAAATGCTATGATTTAAAAAGCTAATAATGGACCTCTATTTCACGAATATTTTTATTTATACATGAAAGAATAATATGATATAAAGTACAGTATGATAGACTGGAAAGTAGAAAATTTAAATTCTAAATCCTCACTCTACCAGCAGGAAACTGTGCACACTTTGTGCCTGATTTTTTGTTAATTTCTTTGAGTTTCAAACTCTGCGTTTAGAAATAATAGAAGTGGGAGGGTTGGTTTTATGTTCCATTTTAGAAATTTTGATTTGGTTCATATGAGAAAAAGTTTTTACTCCAGGGGAAAAATAAAATTATGTTACTGTTGTAATTCATAAAGAGAACCACACATTGAAAATTGAAATCTAAAAATTTAAGTGTCACATAAACACTTTTTTAAACTGAAGGACAAGAAAACAAGGATTGAGAGCATCAAAGAGTATTAATAAAAGCATAATCACAACCAGAAACCACAAGGCTAATAAAACCCCACTTTGTGCTCTAAAGATATTATGAATTCATGCATCCTCCATTTCAGAATGCTGACTAGTAACATGCTGAATAAGCATTAGAAACATGACAATATAAACCATGGCTAATTCTGAAATTAAATATATTTTACTCTGGAAAGCCAAAATCAAATTACTTTCATGAAGGAGTAATTCTATAGCTTACTAAAATAGTCAAAAAAGCATCTTAAACTGAAAGTATTTAACTATAAAATGGTAAAGACTTCACGGGAACCACATAACATTTCTACTTTCTTTCTTGCTGAGATTCATTTTAAAAAATCAGAAGTATCATGTAACACTTTCTTCAAATCAATTAAAGAGGAGAGAGAGGCCCTAGAGCTTTGGATTGCATTATGAATGAACTCCTCATATTGTGACAGTCCATATTCACAGTGAGAAAGCCTTTATTACTCAACTTGTGAACGGTCTTTGATCACTGACTTCTAATTCACTTATCAAAAGAATCAGATTTTAATACAACTGTACTGAAGTCCTTTCTTAAAGAATATGAAAAATATATAACTATTTGCCAAGACCACAATATAAGTGTCAATTCCCAATAGACTGTTATAGGTCAAACCAATTTGACTTAAAGGTGAAACCTTACTTCTGAAAACTGTTAAGCACAAAATATCAATTAAGTCCTGCAAACAGGCTATTAAATTTGTTTTTTTAAAAAAATTTCTTACTGTAATGAAGTCATTCCCTTTAACCATTCTTCCTTGGTAAAAAATCCCATGCTTTCAGCCTCCAATTTCCACGCTAAAACTAACATAATAATCTGGAAAGAACAGAACATAAAGGAGAAGGAAAAAGTCAGCATGGAGATAATCATGTCTATATCATGGACAGCATTTTTAGACAACTATTTTCATCTCTCAACTATTAAAGAGTACAACCTCTGAAACTTTTAACTATAATGAACTGATATGTACGAATTTCTTAAAAGGTAAAAGTTCTAATAGTTTATGAAAACTGAGTATCATTCTATTAAAAATGAAATTTGCATCAAGAGAACACTTGCCCAATTCAAATTGACTAAAAAGATCCTAAATTTACAGTATTAAATATGAAGAAACAAAATCTTTTTGTAACATCAGTCTTGTTGGGCGTGGTGGTAAACGCTTGCAAACCCAGCATTTGAGAGGCTGAGGCAGGAGGATTGCTGAGAGTTTGAGGCCAGCCTGGGCTACATAGTGAGTAGTAGGCCAGCCTGAATTATATACTAAGACCTTGTCTAAAAAAAAAAAAAAAAAAAAAAAAAAAAAAAAAGGCTCAATTCTCAGAATTTATTAATATGTTATACCCCACTTATAATCCATTTCACTTAGAAATAAAACATACATTTTCAGGTTCAACACCAATGTCTTCACAAAATTTTTCCATTCCTTCTGGCCCTACAACTTCATCAGGACCTTCAAAGACAAAAGTAGTTTATATATTTTATTATAATTTAATATCAATATGAAACAAGCCATTATGCAAAAGGCATCTATAAATATAACATATTTTACAAATAATGGAATATCAATTTTGGCATAGCTTCAATAGAGCATAAATATTTGCTACAGGATTTACAATTTCAAACTTTTTAAATATTCCTTGAACAGCACATTACAATATAAAATTCAGGAAATTTTTGAACTTTTTAAAAGGAGCAGTAAAGAAATATTCTATTAATATCAATCAACAATTTGTACACAAACTTAAAACTATGTGTGGAAAAAATTTACTGACAGCCTACTCAGAATAAACTTTGGCAGCATAAGAATATAAAGCATAAGAAAGTTGGAGCTTCTCCTAGGGTGTGTCAGAACTAGTACACAGCTCAATACACTAATCAAAAAGAGCAACTGTTTACTTACTAAAGAGAAAATCCTCTATTACCTGTCTCAAATATATTTAAACATAATTTAATGCTTAAAAATGTTATAAAAACAACCTATAGAAATTACTGTATTACATTTCCTTTTTTCCATATTACATTTTCAAAAGAGAAATTTCACATTTCATATGGCTTCTAAAATAAACATTAAGAAATTAGTTATATCACCTTAACATACACACAAGCTCAGATTATGTCTACCATTTGTCTGAACATTAATTAATGGTAGTTAATTTAATCCTTATTGTTCTTCCTTACTATCACTAAATATAAGTCAATATATCAATTCTTACAATTTCTTTCAGACCCTCAAAACATAGTAATTACATTAGCTAAGTCTCTATGACTAAGACTAAAACAAATCTTATGATGTGAAATATCATAGGAGAATGTTTACCACTGTTAAAGTACTGTATAGTCTTATAATGTTAAGTAAGAGAAACCTCTATTTTCCTTTGTTAAGGACTAAAAAACACTTCAGCTTTATAAGTCAGACAAGATCTAGGCTGCACAGGTGGGTTTTATAGCACCATCACTTGGTTACAGGCACAACATGAAGCCAATGTTCTACAGTTTTGCTTCATAGCGTGTAGTCATCCCCTTTGTGGTCAGGTTGCCAAGACAATATTAAAATAAGATACCAAAGTCCTTTTAAATTGTGCAAAAGTATAAATGTTATTAAGTTAAAATAAGTACTAACTGCACTGAGGTGTTAAAAGGTAAAGGGGGTGGTAATTACAGGTGACTCGTTTCCTAATATATATTTAGAGAATTCTTCTAATTAGAATGTGTTACATTTGTAATTTAAAAGCATACACGGTGGTGGGGGTATAGTTCAGTGGTAGAGTGTGTGTTCAGCATAATAAGGCACTAGGTTCAATCTCCAGCATCAAAGTAAATAAATGAATAATAAAAAGCATACACATAAAATAAGGCTGCTAAAATATATAACTGGGTGTGCATCCTTATATATATGGTTGGACATGTACAATAATCTGATTTAAAAATGTAAAAGAAAAAAAGAGACAGTATTTTTAAGGCACGATAGGATTATATTCCAGATTTTTCTGATGCAATAAGAAAGCAAACTTGCCCTCAAATTTGTCAACAGTGATTAGAAGAAAAAACAGAAGAGTTAAGGGTTGTCACTGTAGGCAACAGTACCCTAGAAACTGAGGCTAATGACTAAATTTGATTAAAACAAGCTAAATAGGGCTATATCATATATATATATTTTCCACATACATACTCATGTGCATAACCTTATATCCTTATATAGGTAAGGCCTGCAGATCTTAAGTGACTTTCCCAAAGCAATGCAAACAGTGATAGATCTAAGTCTAAAGCAATATTTTCTCCAATTGCATAAAGTTAATAACAAAATGTGAACCACACCTTTCCAATAAAATTACTGCCTGAGTAAAAGTTCTAGAGCTGAATGTAACTAACACTTTCAGGCTTTCACTCAATTTTAAGGTTTTCACTCAATTTAAGAAGCCAGGGAAATGATTTAGATCATTCTTCCAGGACAGTTTATCAGCTGGCTTTTATATCAAGACTAAGCAACTCTAACCATGTTTTAAAATTCTTTCTAAGACTTTAAAAGTTTCCTGCTACTTGCTGTTTTTGTTTACTACAGATCCAGTACACAGTTAGCCTTCCAGATCTGTAGGTTCTGCATCCAGGACTGAACCAACTGCTCATCAAAAACAGAAGGAAAAAAAATGCATCCGTACTGAACATGTATGGACTTTTTCTTCATCATTAACCTTACAGAGCATAGGTGTTATAAGTAGTCCACAGATGATTTAAGGTCTATAGGAGGATGTATATTGGTTACACACATATACCGACTTTATATGAGAGATTTGAGCACCCTCAGATTTTGATATCTATTGCAGAGCTGGGGTTGTCCTGGTACCATTTTACCCCATGTTTAAAGAGGGACAACTATATTCATGATTCTTGTTAATTTAAATATCACCCGAGTGACAGATCTTGTGAAAAGGCAAATTATCATGTTTATTACACATGATTTATAATACTATATTTAACAAGTTTTGTGATATTTTCGGTAACAAACCCATCTTAAACTTCCTGATTTTTTTAAGAACCATAAAGAAATGTCTCTTGCTCTATGTTCAGGACCAAATACCAGGCCAACCACAACAGATGCTCAGGACCATAAACATGTTCCACGGCACAGCATTTTATAATGCGCTACATGAATTTTTGTCAATTGTGAAACGTTATAGGAAACATATCACCAGTAAATCTGATGCTATAATGCTTTTGCTGTTTTAATAATAACTAACATTTATTAAGTTCTGATCATATGCCAGGTACTATGCTAAGGGTTTTGTATGTATTGCTCTCAGTAGGCACAAGCTATTGGCTCTATTTTAATGAGGTACATTTCCAGTTTAAGACAAAACACTTAAGGTTTACTAGGCAAACAACTGGTTCCTTCCCATCTAGCAGGTTTCTCTCCAAACAGCCTCCACAAAGAGGCCTTTCTTCTGAAAGTCATCCTTTCTTCTCTATTCCCACACCTCCCCGTATTACGGTATAATCCTCCACAATCTCTAAGTACCTTGCCTACGCTTCTGTTTTCAATTTGTCTTCCTCACTTAGAAGCCAAGCCCCCTGAGGGCAGGGATCATGTCTGACTTACTCGCTATTATAGCCCCAGCGTTTAGCATGGTGCCTGACTTACAAACAAGTGCTCAGTAAGTTTACTGAATGAAACATTGAATTAATGACAGCTAACTTCAAGTGTACTAATATTTTTGTGAAAGTGAAAATAATGGTTGCCATGTTATATAACCATGTATATAATTAAATGAATGTTTTTTAAAACACTGTTAAGAGCAGTAGTTAAGAGCACGGCCTGTGGGGTCACAATTGACTGGGGTTTGAATCCTAGCTCTAGTCACCATATAATCTTGGGCAAATTTCTTCATCTCAGTGTCAGTTTTCTCCTTTATAAAATGAGGATAACAGCACCTATTTAACAGAATGGCCGTTAAGTTAAAATGATACACTTAGCACAGTTCTTGGCATAATGCCAGCAATTATTATGATGGCTATTTTAAAAAGCTAACATAGGAAATATCTCATTAGAATGTTATGATACCCAGGAAAAGTAAAACAAGTCATCATGAAAGACAAAAAATGTACTCATTATGTTTACAGTGTCTAATAACCTTTACATATTAGTAAAACAGAATGAATGACCTTTGGATTCTTTATCATGCATACTAGTAAACTGGCATTTGGAATAATGGGTCAACATCTTAAAATGGAGGTCAGTAAGAAAATGAATTCCCTTCATTTAAATTGGGTTAGTGGTTGTCTTGGGATGCCAGTAATAGCCTTTTTCTGGTCTAGAAAGAATCTGTTCTGCTACTAAACAATTTTAAAATTATACTTTTGGGATCACTCAGCACACACCAACCCTGAAGTTGCTGCCTCCTCAAAACAGTCTTACTTTCCACAGTTGGCCTAAACTTTACATCAAGCCCGGAGAACATTTAGATTTTCACACAGCTTAGCAGTAACATAAGGCAGTAACTACAAGCATACTTTTATTTTAAACAAAAACTCTGAGAATAATGATAAAAGAACAAAAAACAAAAACTGGGGAACCAGGAAAGAAAAGGGAAAAGGAAAAACACAAAGCTTTAAAATCAGTAACTCCAGAAGGACCAAACTATTAAGGGGAAAAAAGTCTTACATGTTCTCATGAAAAGTAATAGATGGGAAACAACTATTCTTTTTCATGTATTTGCATGTGCTGAGCTCTTTAGCTTCATCCCTGGTTGGCTGTGACTTTCACCTCTATGCTAGGTGTCACCCTGAGCCTAGAGCTGTTCATCTACCACTTATAGGATTTAGCTGAGGTTAATTAGCTCCATCAAGAAGGCTCCCCTGACATGTTCAAGGCTGGGTTATATATTCCTCCTATGAATTCTCAGTGTGTCTTTCTAATAGAGTACTTATCACAGTATTGATATCAACCTACTTACTTTCTTATTATTGCATGTCTAGTAGAAATGGGTAAATAACAACCATTACAGGATAAATATGTTGGAGAATGATGTATATGAGGTTTAAATCTTTTACTATTTTCCTCAAGTTTTAGAAAATGTTTCTAGTTCAAAAAAAAAAATCTCCAAAACAAAAATGCTAGAAAAATGTTTTACAGGTTTTTTCCCAGAATACTGAATAGAAAATTATTTTATTGCATACTTTTGTTTCCCAGAGTACTACCTTAGCCAATGGATGTAAGTAAACGAATTTGTTTCTGTTTACATATTTTCTACTTTACTACTAAACATACATTCAATATATTTTTAAAGAAGTATCAGCCTACAATGGCATCAAATTCTAAAGAAGTCCACAATCCTTAGTCTTGACCCTAATCCCAGCATACAGCACTCAAACATAGCAGGACTGCAATAAATAACTTGTTAAATGAATAAATGGGAAAAAAAAAAAAACTTTTTAAAGCATATGACTGATATCTTCTTACATTAATTTCATTACCTGCATACTCATAAAACCAAGCCAGGCACTTCTTGCTTGAAAAATGTTCCTCTCCACTTATTAGTCTAGCAGGGGGTTGGGATCTGCAATAGCTTAGAAAACACACAAATGCCTAAGATTTTTATCAAGTCTCAACTCTTAGTGAAAAACTAAGTTCAATAAGAACTACTTCAATTCAAATTAAAGTTTTTTCTTTTAAAGATGACACTATAAGAAAAAAATGGAGTTAAATATTTGCAATTTGAAACAGTAAGAATTTCTGGCTAACAAAATCCGACTGAAACTTTGCTTACTACCAAATTCCAATTAATAGCAACTAAAATTATCTCCCCAGAGTTTAGAACTACACAGTTCAACCTAAGTCGCAATGCAGTATTGGTAAATTATACACCGTGAATCTGCTACTGTGTGAATGCAAATTGTATTTGTGTATAACACACACTCATCTGAAAACAAAATCTTACAAAGTGTATCTTGATACTTAATATTTGAAAATAAAAGTACATACTGAGATGTAAATAAAATAATATATTAAAAGAGGTATCACCTATCAAACCTAAATGGATTTTTTAAAAGATAAACAATGAAAAAAAAGATAAACAATGACTTGCGACTTAAGAGTATATGAAATTCCACAGATTAAGAAAATGAAGGCACAACAAAAAAATCATGGTTAATAATTAAAAATAGATCAAATAATTGTGCCAAAGATATTTAGTCTCATTCTGTTTCTCTTTTATTCATAAAATCACTAACAGCTGGGAAATTAAATAATGACCTCTAGGATTTAAGGGACTTCAGAGGACCATGTAATTGCATAATGTAGTATAAAACAAGGATGCCATATTTAAAAATTTAAGTTGACAGAGCAAAGTATCACCCGAGTTATAATACTGCCTTCCCAGCTACTTTAGTATCCTTCATTTAAATAATGTTGATACATTATACACAAGATGGCCATGAATTAAAAAACAATTTGCCCATTTTACATAAAAATATGAGCTACTAAAATAACCATGTCAAATTCTAATGTTAGCCACCAAGGAGAAGAGATTTCACACTTTACAATATATGAAAATTATTCCAATAATAGCCCAAGAGTTCAGTGTGGTAGTGCATGTCTGTAACCCTAGCTCTCAGGAGGCTGTGGCAGGAGGACTGCTGTGAGCTGGAAGCCAGCCTGGGTATATACTAAGCTCAAGAGCAGCCTGAGTTACATGCGTATCGCAAAAAAACAGAAAACAAAATTTCTCAGGCTCCTTTTGCCAATACACAGTAATGAAGGAAAAAATAAGCTAATTATTTTTGAGATCTGAAAACAAAATCTTACACAGTTTATTTTGATACTTAGTATTTGAAAATAAAAGGATATATTAAGAAAATAAAAGGATGTATTATTCTTGCAAAAAGAAAGATGCAGACTATACAACTCACCTCCCTCACATTTTAAACACTCTCCAAGGAGAGCGCTATTATTTCATCCAGTGCTGGCTACTGTTGGTTTTAATGGCAGCATATGAAATTATTGCCTTAACTGTTAATTCTTGGTTAAAAAAAAAAAAAGACATCCAAAAATGACGGGGGAAGAGCGAGGCTACTTCTCAAACCTACACTGCAAAGATTTCTGCAGCATACAATGTTTCCATATCGGCTAAAGGATAATGTAACAAATGGGGTCAAAGACCTATAACTACAGTTCTGCTTTTCTTCCTTTTCTCCAAGAGAATACAGAATACAATGGCTCCCAAATTATTAATATTTATATTGAGAGCTAACAGTATGGTAAATGTTAGTGTTGTGTTTTTTGGGGGGTTTGGTTTTTTTCCGGTACCAAGAATCGAACTCACGACCTTGCGCTTGCCAGGCAGGCGCTGTGCCGCTGAGCTAAATCCCCAGCCCCCAGTACGGTGAATGCTAGAAGACAAAAAGCACGGAAGCATGTAGGGACTTTCTAATTCCCCGCACAGAGAATCCGGACAAGCGGTACATTATAATTCCAAAAATTGGGCTCCTGCGATCTAAAAGGCCTCCTGCTGGGAGCGTCCTGGCTGGGTCATTTCAAATACTAAATATGGAGGCCAATTAGAGAATACTTTCTCTGCGATTCCCAGAGCAGTTGTCAAAATCCCTCGCGCTCGGCCCCTTTCAGCACTCCCCACAAAGGGCGTCTGTAGAAGCGATCCTTCCGGGCTGGGAGAAGAGGCGAAGGAAGGGTGCGGGAGCGGGGCGCGGGGGAAGAGCGCGACGCCCTCTCCAAGCGCGCGGAGACCCGCGGGGGCCCTCGGTGCCCCCGGACGCCGGGCACCACACTCGCGAGCACGAGGTCGGGGCGGCGCGAGGTCGG